TGTTACTGTCCCACAGGCCTTTCCTCTCTCACTGCCAGCTCCTGAAGGAGCTTTTCATCAATTTACTTCCTGTGGAGCTGCTGTCATTTATACAATCATTCTCACACTGTTGGCTTCACAGACCACTTCCAATTATCCCTAAGTGCTGGGCTTTGAATGTCCATGAGCATTAACCCACCAAATGATAGGACTCCACATTTTAGCAGAACTCCTTTGGTAAAAGCAAACCCACCTTTTCTTTGGCAGTTTAATTTTTGCAATGTAGCTTAGACAGTAGTTGATTAAATCTTGAATTAGGGCCTCACCCAGGTGACCTTGAATATTCTAGATTTAAAAAAAACTGCAGTTACTTATTTATCAGGATGTATTTTCAAAATAGCTTTATAGCAAACCCAGGTCTTCAGCTACTTCTGCCCGAAAGTCCCTAGGCTGACGTACCAGGTTAGTGACCCACACCCTCATTGCTATTTTACTTCTTTCCCGTTTCCTCAGGTTGAAAACAGTAGGCAAGCTATGAAGGCTTTACTCAGAAGCCTTTTCTGATTCATGACTCAAAAAGTTTTGAATTCATTATCTTTCAAATACTTCCTGGAAGGTCCACAGAGTCTATTGCTCTTGCTTTTCCTCAATTATAACACCAGTAGACAAGAGTAGAAAATACAGCTGTTCAGCCTTAGCTTTCTCTTATGTCTGAACAGAACGATCCTATACTACTGAAAGCTACATACTACCTTTTCAAGATTTTTTTGGTTTTTTTTTTTGGTACCAGGGATCAAACTTGGGTCCTTGCGCTTGCGAGGCAGACGGTGGAACCACTGAGCTAAATCCCCGGCCCTCTTCAAGATGTTTATAAGTGAGGTAGCCTACCCTAGTTTCTGCTACTGTAATAGAAATATTAGATTTAAGTATCCTTAAAAAACAAATATAAAAATTTAGTTATCAATTTGCAATATGTAACAGTCACATGGTTCAAGATTCAAATCTTAACAAAGAATACAGAATAAAGATCTATTCTCACTTGTTTCTCAGCTTCTCAGTGTGCCTACCCAGAGGCATTCACTGTCAAACATCTTTATTTGGTTTTTGAGACAGGGTCTCCATATGTAGCTCAGGCTGGCCCTGAAATTACTATGTAGCCCAGGCTTGGCTCAAACTCGTTGTGATCCTCCGGCCTCAGCCTTCCAAGTACTGGGATTATGGGTGTGCACCACCACGCTCAGCTCTAAATATTTTCATAGTAGTAAGCAGTTCAGATACTTAATAACATACCTGTTTACATAAGAGTTTCCCATCTTTGTATGCTACCAAGCCATTTTCTGGAAACACATAATCATATTTCTCCACCACTAAAACCAAAACAAAAGAAAATTCAGGATGAAATAAGCCAAAATATGCATTTCTGTTTCTGGTCTAACACTCACCACCATAAAAGTGCTAAACTTCAATAAGGATTGTAAAAGACAGTCTCAACAGACTGGGAGAAGGGCGAAAAGCTCCTTAAGAAAGAAAAGAAAAAATGACTCCTTAGTTGTAAATTTAAAGGCCAATGTCTGGCTGGTGACTGAAGACCTGGGGCTGGGTTGCTCTGTCCCTGCCTGTAGCTTGTTGGTCTGAGGCTGCTGGAGGGAGGATGCTGGTCCATCATGGCTCCCAAACCTTGCCACGGGCCAGGAGCACCAGGGCAGTCAGTGCAAATGCTGATTTCCATGCTCTGCGCTCAGGCTGTCTAAATCAGAATTGCCAGAGAAAAGGCTAAATATTATTTTTTAAAAAGCTGTTTAAGTGATTCTTATAATCAGTCAGATGTGGAGAGTAAAGGATTCTCAAACTTTAGGCCCTTGTCAAAATTCAGATTCCCAGGGCCAGTGCCCCTCAACTGCATCTTGCACTGTGTATTGGGTGGGGCCCTCACACTTGCAATTTAATAATGAGTGTGATGCAGGCAGGCTTTCATCTTTCTCTAGTTTGTGAGTGGAATGTGCACTGTCCTTCACTGACACAATACCTCTCAGTGTGCTGCTAAATACACCACCAGAGGCTGAAAGGCCAATCAGGACCAAGTGAGATTTCTGGAGCTTAATGTGTCCACTATGTAGTCCATAACATTTCTAAACAGAGCACCTACTAGGACAAGTAAGTGTAAGTAGAACAGAAAGCTTTAAAGGGATTGCATAGATTACTCTCTGAGTAATGATAGTCCAATGTAGTCTACAGAGAATTGTACTGTAAGATATGACATACAGAGCAGGGTGCAGTGGCACCCTGGAGGCTGGGGCAGGAGGATCACTGTGTCTTCAAGGCTAGCCTGCGCTACATAATGTGTACAGGGCCAGGCAAACTACATATCAAGACTCTTGTCTCAAAAAACCAACCAACCAACCAAACAAACAAAAAAGACACACAGGAGTTCCTGCCAGGCATGGTGGTACACGCCTTAATCCCAGCACTATAGGAGGCAGAGTGGGGAGGGTTACAAGTTCAAATCCCACTTGAGCAACTTAAAGACTTAGTGAGACCTTGCTTCAAAATAAAAAATAGGCTGAGGATGGAGCTCAGTGTGAAGGCCTTGGGTTCAATCCTCACTATATATATAAGAAAAAAAATCAGAGTTCCTAACTGGGGGTGTGTTACCCAGAGGACATGTCTGACAATGTCCGGAGACATTTTTAGTTGTCAAAACTCTGTGTGTGTGTGTGCGTGTGTGTGCGTGCATGTGTGTGTGTACACTCAGAAAGGCCAGGCATACTATTAAATATCTTACAATGCACAGGGTCCTCATAACAGAACTATTTGGCTCCAAATGTCAACAGTAACAAGGTTGAGAAACCTTGGTCTAGCAGAGCTGGTTCTAAGACACGAGAGGACTCTGGGCCTCCTCACCAAGGTGTAAACCGAGTTACAGGGATTAAAAGAGCAATTCATTAATCCATTCCTCCACCCAGTATTTCTAACAGGCCAGGCACCACAGAGACCCTGAGCCACAGAGATGAAAAACCACAGTCCTGGTCTTTAAGGTAAACACAGAACCAAACAGTTTCGAAAAATTAGAGTGCTATGTTAGCAGGGTTGTGCACCAGGATCCTTTCGGAGTACTTGCTAAAATACAATTCTCAGGTCCTGCAGACTTACTGAGTCATAATCTCCAGGGAAGAAGCCAGTAAGACTCCAGTTTCTGGGGTCCTATGCTGGAGATTCTGGTTTGGGGAAGGTTGGAGCCCGGTGAGTCTCTTGATGCAGGAACTCCGGGAAACACTGGATTAGGGAAATGGGAAGGAGGTTCTTAGAGCTAGAGGGCCACGTCTACACCTTGGTGAGCAGGAGGGCCAGGAGGTGGGGCCTGTGCTGAGTCAGCCACAGTGAGGATAGGCAGCTAATCCAGGCAAAAAGTCCCACATGCAAAGTAGCAGACACTGCTTTTTAGGAGAATCTGCCCACAAGCCAGAGTAAAGTGCTCCACCAACAACCCCAAAGCTTTATTTTAGGATTAAAAGCAAAGGAAATATAGAGGCAGAGAAAACATTGCCCCAAAGAAGGAAGAAAGCATGCCACACATGGATAAAGGTCTGGGATGCCAAGGACCCTTGGTTACAGGCCTCAGTACCCTCAGGAGAAGTTAATCTTTGACCAAAATGTAATTAGCAATGTAGAGTTACCGTCATTTCCCAGTTGTTCCTGTACTTTCTCAAAGTCCGACCCGCCTACCACTCCAATTTTGGTTTTCTGCTTCAATTTTTGTAGGAAGTCATCCATTTCTTTGGTAATTTTCTACATTTGAAGAAGGAAAATAGGAGAGTCATGAGCCACAAAACAATCAGCAATTGAGCCGGGGATTTAGCTCAGTGGTTCTGCCGCCTGGCTTGCCAGAACAAGGTCCCGAGTTCGATCCTCAGTACCAAAAAAAAATCAGCAATTGAAACTGAAGGAGTATTTTATTCACTATTTTTTTTTTTTTTTTTTTTT